TTGGTGAGAAACAAGGCTTTAGGTATTGATGGAATCCTAATTTGTTTCAACAAATAGATGCAAACAGGAAGCACCAATCCATCTATGCTAGGAAGTTTCGAAGACAGACACCTCCCAAGAAAACCTTTGTTTCACATCTGTGAACATCTGCTTCATCTCATGTACATACAGACCTTTAGTATAAAATGTGAAGCTTTATATATATATAATTTTGTCTCAGTTTTCAATTTTTTGGTTTGACAGTAATATGCAAAATAAAGACTGAATTAGAGAAGAGTTTGATTTGTTTTTAATCACTAGGTTTCTATAGTTAGGTAAGATAGACTTTACACTGGTAGAGCAACCCTTAAAGTGCTTTTTGAACAGTTGCAATTTTTTCTATTCTTTTGTTTTCCTGAATGGTCTTGTGTTTGTATCTGAATTTAGTATAAAATGTAAAAGAATACATTATCATCTCAACCACATTAGTAGAACACAATGTTGTTATCCAGTAACAGTGATTCTCCTAATCTCTTAGTACACATCTAATTAAGGATATTCAGAATTTCTGTCTATGTTTGTGTTCATAGGCTGCATATCACAAGAATCTAGGAAAAACTGTTTATACCAGGAATCTACTTTGTATGCTATAAATCAGTCATATTTGAGTGCTTAAAATTTGTACTTACATAGTTAGCTGCAGAGGGAGAGAAGGTTGGGAGTTTTTTAATCTTTAACTTTACACAGCTTTTTTTTTTCTTTTATAGGGGTTTTCCTGCGTGGCTGTTTTTCTCAAAATGAACGTTAGTTTCACCTTCTTACGACCTTTTGCTCGGTTTATGATGCCATGTACCCTTCACAGGAAGAGAAGAGATTTATATTCAACAGTTCTACAGAGATACATGTCTTCCAAAATATCAGCTGTATCCTCTTCTAGTAAGGAGGATGTAGCACCTCCTGAAGAGCTAGAATTAGATAAGTGGAAAATGACAATGAAATCTAGTGGTCAAGAAGGCGCTTCTGCAGTTTCCAGCAGTGAAGATGAAGACCCGCTAGCTGCCACAAGAGAATTAATCGAGATGTGGAGATTGCTTGGCAGAGAAGTACCAGAACACATCAGTGAAGAAGATCTTAAAATTGTAATGGAAAGTCCTTCTAAATCATCAAAAAAGAAATATTTAAAATACTTATATATTAAGGAAATAAAGAAAACTGCTAAGCAAAAGAAAAAAGAAATTAAAGCCATAGCAAAGGAAGAAACTAAAAAAGACAACTTGCTTGAAAACACTAAAGAAGATAAACCGCAAAACTTTCTATTTCTACGGCTTTGGGATAGGACTATGAACATTGCAATGGGCTGGAAGGGTGCACAGGCCATGCAGTTTGGACAACCTTTAGTTTTTGATATGGCATATGATAATTATATGAAACCAAAAGAAATGCAGAATACTGTTTCTCAACTCTTAGAAAGTGAAGGATACAACAGAAGAGATGTTGATCCATTCCATATTTATTTCTGTAATCTTAAGACAGATGGTGATTATTATAGACAGTTAGTCAAATATTATGGAGAAAAATGGAACAAATTGTTTTTAACAGCAACAGAAAAGTCTCATGTAGATTTATTTCCAAAGGACAATATTATCTATTTAACTGCAGATTCTCCCAATGTTATGACAACTTTTCAGCATGACAAAGTTTATATAATTGGGTCTTTTGTTGATAAGAATATAAGGCCAGGCACATCCTTGGCCAATGCAAAACGACTGAAGCTGGCAACAGAATGCCTCCCATTAGATAAATATTTACAGTGGGGAACTGGTACCAAAAATCTGACCTTAGACCAAATGATTCGCATTTTGTTAAGTCTGAAAAACACTGGTAGTTGGGAAGAAGCTCTGAAATTTGTTCCCAAAAGAAAACATACTGGTTTTCTGGAGATTTCTCATTATTCTCAAGAATTTGTCAATCAACTGAAGAAAAAGTCAACACTTAATTCATTTCCGAAAAAACTCCCTAAATATACATGCAAAGAAAATGAAGCTTAAGTGACATGGATAGCCGTAAAATAAATGGCTTGGAAATACAATTCTATTAGCGTTCTTGCTTCCTGAGTGGAATTCACTTCGTCTTTTTTTTTTAACGGCAATCTTCCCAAATTAACTGCAGTATTTCATCTTATCACTCATTAGTTAAATATCTACAAAACTTTGGAAATGTATTTTACTTGCTGTTAAACTGAAAAATAAGTTTTTTTAAGTTTATTAAACAGTAATTTTTAGAGTGGACTCAAAAAAATTGTACCATTGGTGTCTTTTTTTAATGAATTTTTTTCCATGTTCCTTTCTTTCTTCATGGATGTTATTTTAGTCATGTCAACTACCCTTTTGTCAAAAAGTGCTGTAGAAAATATTTCTAAACTTAATGTGGTAGCTCACTAAAGTAACATTTGATTCAGTGATATGTATGTCAAATACACAAAATATATTGTTTAACTGAATCATGGCTAAACAGTAGGTTTTAACAGCCCTTGGAATTTAGGGAGATAAAGCACATTTCATGCTGTTTATCCTCTTCTAACACACATACACACACAAAAGTAGTAGTGACTATAATCTTTCCTCCTGTATAATAAATAGAACTTGTTGCCATTTGGTCAATTCTAACCCATAGTGAACCTTTAAAATGGAGTAGAATTGTTCTTGAGACCTTCCAAGTCTGAATCTCAACGGAATAGTTAGTGGTTTGCCCTCCGACCTGTTGGTTAGTAGCCCAGTGCTCACCCACTGCAACTGGGGACCTAGGACAGATATCTTCTATGAAATACAGGGGAAAGTGAGAACTGGAACTTAAGGCGACTGCTGTCCAGGTTTTGAACGTTATCTGCCTCTGCTGGCATAGCTTTAGAACTTTTCTATGGGTGAGTGGAAACCAACCCATAGTTGACCCTCTAGTGGGCTTACAGAGGCTATAAACTGCATGAAAGGAGTCCCATGGAGCAGCTGGTAGATTCAAACTGCATGCCTTTGGGATTGTAGCACAGCTTCTTAACACTAGGCAACCAAAGCTTGTTAACCTCTGTTGTTTACTGTCAGGTTGGAGCTGACCCTCCAACCAGTTTTCAGAGATAGTTAATTGCCCATAGAGTGGCTGGTGGCCTTGAACCATGTGCCTTTAGGATTGCAGCACAGCTTCTTGCTTCTAGGCCACAAGAGCTCCTATTGGAAAGATGGGTTTCTCTTCTCTAAAAGATTTCCATATTAGTAGCATAGTTCATAGGGTTAACCTTGCTAACCCATAGGCCACATCTCTTTGTTCAATTCACCTGGAAGATCCTCAGGAGAAAGACAATCTACAGTTTACAGCCTTGGAAATCTAATAGAGGGTCTGGTAGGAGATAATTCTGCCTTGAGGGCAATGAGTTTGGATTTTCAGGTTTTGAACATAAGATTTCCACACATAAGAACTGGCTTTCACAAGTTTTACTTGACTGCTTTTGCTTCAACTATATGGTTGAAACAGAATCCTCTTTCTGTAGACCTTGTTCTGTTGACCACTGATTAGTCCAAGTTAGACTAATTCTGCCTTCCCAGCCAATTGCATGATCTAGGTATAAGCACCTGACCTAAATATGGCCAGCAAGAACCCTGTTCCAAGGAAAATAAGATACTACAATTCCTAATTCAAGACTGAAGGATCAGAAAAGCCTATGATTATGATAAGAAGCCTAACAATGATAAGTTGTTAAATAAACTTAGACCATGAGAGGAAGCGTAAGCATTTCATCTGTTCGGTGCTAGCAGGTCAATTTGACTCCATGACCTTATATGACAACATAAGCAGAAGAGCCCCATAGCATTTCCTACTCTTCAATCTTCGCAGGCTGTGACACTAATGTTTCAAATGTGTTAATGGTTGGCTACCTAATGCGGACAGAGAGTGGGGTGGAGCTCCCCAATTAAAACAAGCTTGGAAGGAGGAGTGGCATCCACTTCTATAATAGCTTGCCTCCAGAAACCCTACGAACCTGGAGAGAGGGTGAAAGGCACCCAAGCAGTGAGGACTCTCCTTCATAGGGTCGCTATGAGTCACCTGCGACTCGACGGCACTTAACAACAACAACACAATCTTTGCAGGACCATCTGGTGGGTTTCAGCTGCTAGGCTTTTAATGCTGTATGACCCATATCATCTACTCAGTGTCATCAAGGTGATTCTTACCAACTGTGTAGGGCACAGCCAAACTGTTTGATAGGGTTGGCAAAGCTGTAAATCCTAACTGAAGCAGACTTTGTCTGCAGACCATAATGGTGTAAAATTAGAGAGCTTAATCACATCCCCAATGCATCACCAAACCCCACCCTACTAAATGGCAAAGTAGTTAGAACTATTTGTCATGCACTGAAAAAAATAGTTGTAAAGATTGGCAAGAGAGCCAAGACTTTGAGGGTACCATACTCCTCTAGTTCCAGCCCTGCTTCCTAGGTTCTAATTTCTTACAGGCTTTGGCAGTAAGGTATGGATACAGGGAATGAGAGAAAACCCCTCAACCAGGTGTACTGACAGTGACTGCAACAATAGGCTCAAGTGTGTGGGAGATTATGAGGATGGCATAGGGTAAAATGGGTCAGATCTATTCATAGAGTCAAACTTGATGTCACTTAACAAAGTGCTTAAGTCTCTTGGCGGTTCCATTTTCCTCATCTTTAAAAAAAGGAATAGTTCTTCACTGAAAATGGTGTGTGGCCCACTCAGTTGGTTCCAACTCACAGCAACCCTCTATTGGCTATCAGACTAACAGAAGACTCCCCCATCTTTATCCTATGCATCCACTTGTGCATTCAAATTGCCTGAAAAGTGTGGCCTTTTTGGTTAGCAGTGTGATGTGCTAAGTATTATGCCACCAGAGTACTAAGTACCATAATTTAATCCTGAATTTTAAAATTCTATAACTAGAAATGTAAGTATCTGAACTTTTAGTATTACCGTAGGCTGCTACAACAGAGAAGGCAGAAATAGATGGCTTTAACAAACAGATTATTCTCTAAGCATTATGCCTTTTTCCACGAACTGGTCCATTCTAACAACATGCCCAAAATATATATGAGACAAAGTTTCACATCTGTGGCTCTTAGGACTACCCTATGTACTTTCTCCTAGACATATTTGTTCTTTTGGCAGTCGGTACTTTTCTCCAAAACCACAACCCAAAGGTAAGGATGATTCTTCATCTTTAGTCATTGTCCAAATTTTAGATGCATTCCAAGTAACTGAAAAGACCATGATGTGGTGGTCTTCAGACTGACATCAGTGCGCTATTACACTTTGGAGAGGCCTTGAACAGCAGATTGTCCAAATGTAACATGTCTTGATTCTTGTCTGCTGGTACCAAGGTGTTGTACAACCAATTTGTAAATTTGTACAATCGTAAATTTTGTACAATCAATGATTGTAGGTTCAAGTAAGATGAAATTGTTGACAAGTTCAATCTTTGCTCCATAATGTTGCCTATTGGCCCAGTGGTGAGGATTTTTGTCTTCTGGATGTTGAGATGTAATCCATAAAGAAAGCTGTCTGATCTTCTGTAGCAGACATTTCAAATTCTCCTTACTTTGAGCAAGCACAGTTGTGTTATCTGCATAACACAGGATGAATCTTCTGATCCTGATGCCGCATTCTTTTTAATAAAGTCTAATTGCTTAGAGAATTTGCTCAGCATACAGATTGAATAGGTATGGATAAAGGATACAGCTCTGACACAATCTTCTTGATTTTAAACCATACTAGTGCTGCAATCCTGAAGACATGTTCGAGGTTCAAGGCCACCAGCTGCTCCATGGGAGAAGGATGGACAATCTCCTTCCGTATAATTAACTGCCTCTGAAAACCCTCTGGAGGGTCAGCTATGGGTCGGTTCCAAATCAATAGTACACAACAACAGTGTTCCCTTGCGTGGACTAAATTTTGTGCAATCAATGATTTAGTCATAACAAATACCTTTTTAAAAAAATCATAAAGGACAATACATGGACCTCACCTACTGAGTCATACAGGAACAGACTATATAAAAAGAATGACAAGAGAAGCTCAATATCAGCAGTCAAAACCAGGCCAGGTACTGACTCGAACAGACCATCAACTATTCACAAGTAAGTTAAAATTGAAGCTGAGGAAAAATAAAGTCTACACGAACCAAAATAACGATTTTTGAGTCTCTCACCTAAAAGCATCTAAAAAACTCAGAGAAGGAAATCAAGAAAGCAATACCATTTACAATAGCCATACAACAGCTGGTGGATTCAAACAACATTCCTTCTGTTTGGCAGCACAGTTCCTTACTACTAGGCCACCAGAGGAAATCCTAAATACAAAGGCACAGTAAGAACAAAAACTCTTAGAAAAGTTCCCAGTACAACCAATAGATTATTAGTGTGATGGTGAAGAGTAGGTAAAGATAGCTGAAGATTATGGCCAAGAACTAGCAGCTCTGGGCTCAAGTGTGTCAGAAATTATGATGATGGTACAGGATATGACAGAGTTCAGCTATGTTATTCTTAGGGTCGCTATGAGTCATACTCTACTAGATGACACCTAACAACAATTATTACATACAGCCTCAGACCATTATAAGGACTTAAGAGTTTGCTTTGAAGGATAGGGAGACCACAGTTTTGAACAAAGTGACATTTGGCTTATGTTTTAATAGGACAACTAAGAGGGACATCATGCTTGGGAGGGTGGAGGGACAGCACAAAAAAAAGGAAGGCCTTCAGTAAGATGGATTGATTGAGTGATTGGGGAAATGGGGTAGGTGTGTCAGAGACAATAAGATTAGCACAAGATAGAGCAGGGGTTAGGGCTGTTGTACATAGGGTTGCTATGAGTTGCAGGCAACTCGACAGCACATAACAACAACAAGCAAATTCTATGAACACAGATATTGCCTTTCCCTACATTCTCACCCTGTTTTATCCATTTCTGTATCTTCAGGGCCCGTGGAAGTGCACACAAAACAAGTAGTAACAATTTAGTTGAATGAACAAATTTGA